AGAAGTCTTAATGATAATTTTAGAAAGATACCTTTCTTAGAACAAAACGAGAGCTGAAAGAGGTCAAATGGCATTAGTAAGTGTAGAGCATCACCTTGTACATACTTCCACATATCCAATCCTGTCTTCATGCTTTCCACCTTCACTTGTATTTGCTGGGCTGAATGAAGCTTTGTTGTGATTGTGACCAGTATGCAGGCCACGTGAGCATTGTCTTACCACATTGCCGACTAGTTGTAATAAATGTTCAACAAACACTGTAGTGTGTTTCTGTCTTTGCAAGCTTATCAATCTACAGAGAGCTGCTGATGGGAAAATTTCTTTTTTTTTCCTCAGTAAAAATAGTGAAAACTCCCCTCCACTTGAAAGCTGGTGGTGGGTTCTAAGCACACTTAAAGACTCTTCATGTACTTCAACTTCACGAAAAAAAATTGATTCAATGCTATGAGAGCTTATCAGCACATTTTCAATCAATAAATGCCACTTTAAAAACCTTGATGCAGTTTTTTACTCTTTCAAAATGAACAACTGAGATTATTCTAGAAAATCAAAAAGCACTCCAAATCACCTGGGTTCCTCTTTTGCCAGTATGAACTAGAGATACAAGGAGGCAGAAGAAACACTGATGTTTGCAGACTCGACTAATATAAATAAGCCAAAAGTGGTTATTGTAATAACTAAGGGACCTCATAATAAAAAAAAAAAATGCTACAACCTAAAACTGGGAGAGTTAAAGAGTTCAGAAAGGACTACCATCCAAAATAAGTTGTTAGTATACCAAAAATATGTTAAGTGAGAGCCCCAGACATGGAGCTATTCACTGAAAATAGGACTGTGGGCTTCCCTTTCTCTGGTTAACTGAAAAGATGGAGGCAACAGCGATCTCCCGTTCAGTTGTTCACTCTCCCACGCGCCTACAAGCCCAGGGCTGGGGCGGCTGGGAACTCCACCCAGGTCTCCTACACGAGGGGCAGGAATCAAAGCGCTTGCGTAGGCACCTGCAGCCCCGCCCACTCCCGTGCACATGAGCAGAACTGGAGCTGGGACTCAAAGCCAAGCACTCCAGTCTGGGAGGGGGTTTTAGCCAACAATGTAGATGTGCAATTTTTCAGTAAATAATAAAAAAATATTACTCCCAAAAAATATGAGCAAGTTTCAGAGGAACATATGTCAGAATAAAGTAACCAATGAATGAACAGTTTAAAATTTCCCACCCACAGCAGGGAACTCATCCACTTCTGAACTATGTGCAGATCCACAAGGCAGTTTCCTTTTCCCTCCAAGATCTGTTAAGACTGGTCAGCGTGTATACTACAATTGTGTAACTGAGTGATCTTACCTATAGTTAGAAAAGTATGGCGAATCCTGAACTTAGTGATATTTAGCATTAGTGAGCTCACTTATGTACTTGAGGAATTTTTTTCACTCATTTATAGGGTGAATCAGTTGAATTTTTAAAGTGAAATTATTCTGGGCCATATACTTCATTTCTTAACCACAAATTAGAGAACTCATCCTTAGTGGATATTATGCTGTAATCTCAATTTTAAGAAATTTTTTTCCTGGGGCCAACACAGTGACTCAACAGACTAATCCTCCGGCTGCAGTGCCAGCATCCCATGTGGGTACCAGTTTTAGTCTCGGCTGCTCCACTTCCAAGACAGCTCCCTGCTAGCTGCCTGCAAAAGCAACAGAGGCTGCGTCTTGCCTTGGGCCCTTACACCCACGCGAGAGACCCTGAAGAGGCTCTTGGCTTTGGGTCTGCTCAGTTCTGGCCATTGCAGCCATCTGGGGAGTGAACCAACAGATGGAAGGATTTTCTCTATTCTCTACAAATCTGCCTTTTAAATTTAAAAAAAAAAAAACAAATGAATAAATCTTGAAAAATTCCTATTTCATTAATTTTCAATGTTTTGTGCATCTTAAAACCCTTAATCCTGAAAATCCAAAATCTAAGATTACCAAATACCACATATTCTTAAGTCCGACGTATCCAGTTTACCCATGGAACTAAATTTATATTAAAAAGTCTAAGCATGACAGCATTTTTATCTGTGATTCATTTTTGATTTGTGATCTGAAATCTAGGAATATGTCAGGCTTTTTTGACATTAGTCTTTCTTTCTGACCACCCTTCTATTATTTTTTTAAATACCAGATTTGCTTTAACACTATATTCAGTAGCAGTGGTACCAATTATCCTAGAAATTACAAAAACAGGCTCTTTAAAAGTTTTTCAACACAGTATAAAAGAATGTAACACCCTGGAACAAAGCCCCACCTGACGAGCGTGAAGCTGCACAGGACAGGAAACGACTGCTTCCACCCTCAAGTACTTCAAAAACAAAATACCTACATTTTGCCCGTGGAATAATCCAGTAAGGCCAACAAGAATCAGTGGCCATTAAATACAGAAAAAAGTGCTGGGTAGGCAACAAAACAAAATTTTCCAGGTTGTTAAAGATGAACGTGGTGTTGTGAAAATAGTAAATCTTAGTCTGGACAGAGTCAATTTTGTTTCATTAAGATTTATTTCATTTGAAAGGTAGAGTTGGAGGGAGGGAATCATCTTCCATCTACTGGCTCACTTCCCAAATGGCCATGAGAGCTGGGGCAGAGCCAAGTCAGTGCCAGGAACTGAGAACACCCTCCTGGTCTTCTGGATGGTTAGGAGGGGCTCAAGTCCTCGGACCATCTTCTCCTGCCTTTCCAAGTATATTGCAGGGAGTTGGACCAGTACCCAAATGGGAAGTTGGCATTACAGGCAACAGCCTAACCAGAGTAAATATTTTCTAGTCTTTCTGGAGGGCAATTTGGAAGTATTTTAGTATTTATCTATTTTAGTATAATTAATTCTAGGGCCTGGCATGGTGGCCTAGCGGCTAAAGTCCTCGCCTTGAAAACGCCAGGATCCCACATGGGCGCCAGTTCAAATCCGGCAGCCCTGCTTCCCATTCCAGCTCCCTGCTTGTGCCCTGGGAAAGCAGTTGATGATGGTCCAAAGCCTTGGGACCCTGCACCATGTGGGAGACCTGGAGGAAGCTCCTGGCTCCTGGCTTTGGATTGGCTCAGCTCCAGCCATTGTGGTAGCTTAGGGAATGAACCATCAGATGGAGGATCTTCCTCTCTCCTCCTTTCTGTATATCTGACTTTGCAATAAAAATAAATAAATCTTAAAAAAAATTAAAAACATAATTAACTCCTTGTCTATTGTCCTGTCCTACTTTCCTGCTATCCTGGACCCGGTCTGCACTGTGTGACCCAGCCCTGGTTCTGGCTGCGCTCAGCAGGTCCAAGGGAAGGGCTTTGTGTGTTTAGGTCTCATTCCTTTGTTTCTTTCCTACTCTGTTCCCAGCATTTGCTGATTTCTAGTGTGTACTTTGTAGTCCAAGTCTGTTTGATTCCATTCCATGGAAATAAGAAGTATCTTGTACATACTGCCCAAGAGTTGTCTTGCAAGTTAAGGCTTCCCTCTTTACTATAAGACTATAAATAAAAACTTATTTTATCCTTAAAAAAATTCTAAAGAAATTAGGGCCTGGCAGCGTGGCCTAGTGGCTAAAGTCCTCGCCTTGCACGCACAGGGATCCCATATGGGCACCAGTTCTAATCCCGGCAGCTCCACTTCCCATGCAGCTCCCTGCCTGTGGCCTGGGAAAGCAGTCGAGGACGGCCCAAAGCCTGGGGACCCTGCACCCGTGTGGGATACTCGGAAGAGGTTCCTGGATCCTGGCTTCGGATCGGCATAGTATCGGCCGTTGCACTCACTTGGGGAGTGAATCATTGGATGGAAGATCTTCCTCTCTCCTCCTCTCTGTATATCTGACTTTCCAATAAATAAATAAATCTTTAAAAAAAATTCTAAGGAAATTAACAGAAACATGAGACATATTTAGGAAATTCACAGGATTGTTTTCACCAAACGATTCTTCAATAGTGCAAAATTTAAAATCCAACAAAAAGGACGTGGTTGAACAAATAGGTAGATCAGGGCTTCCACAATGGTTCTACTGACTAATCTTCCAAGTCCAAGCGCCGGGATCTCATGTGATCGCCAGTGCATGTCCTGGCTGCTCTGTTTCCCAGCCAGCTCCCTGTTATGTCCTGGGAAATCAATGAAGGTTGGCCCAAAGCCTTTTGGGAACTTGCACCTGTGAGGGAGACCCAGGAGAAGTTCCTGGCTTTGGATCGACTCAGCTTTGGCCACTGTGGCTACTTGGGGAGCAAATCAACAGACAAAAGACGTTTCTTTCCTTCTCTCTGCAGATCTGCCTTTACAAGAAAAAAAATAGATTTTTAAAATAAGTAGATCCTTGGGGCCGGCGCAGTGGCGCAGTGGTTAAAGGTCCTCGCCTTGCACGCCCGGGATCCCATATGGGCACCGGTTCTAATCCCGGCAGCCCCGCTTCCCTTCCAGCTCCCTGCCTGTGGCCTGGGAAAGCAGTCCAGGACGGCCCAAAGCTTTGGGACCCTGCACCCGCGTGGGAGACCCGGAAGAGGCTCCTGGCTTCGGATCGGCATAGTATCGGCCCGTTGCGCTCACTTGGGGAGTGAATCATCGGACAGAAGATCTTCCTCTCTGTCTCTCCTCTCTGTATATCCGCCTTTCCAATGAAAAAATAATAAAAATAAATCTTTAAAAAAAAATTAGATCCTCACCACTAAGTAAAAACAAATACAGCGCTTCCTATGAAAAAATGAAATTCATCAGCAATCATATGTTATCTTTATGTAAAAAGCAAGCATGTATAGATACCCATAAGGAAAAAAAAGCAACAGTGCACCAGTGTGAGCTGGTTACCAATTATGAGTAGGTATTAAAAGTAGCATTCATGTTTGTTAGTCGTATATTTTACAACATCTAGTTTTTCTACAGTAAATACATTTTTTTGCAGAAAATAAAGGTACTTTAAACTAGGGTGCCAGACACTTAGGAGCCCATTTGAGGTCACAGCCCTGAATGTTAATACACAGCAGCCATAAGGAGTAAAAACACAAGTTTATTTGGATTTGGGACTCTGAACAGCTACGTCTCTGCTCCGGGACGTCCGCCCACCATGACTCCTGGACACAGACAGGCTCCTGCTGCGGCTCCTGCTGCGGCTCCTGCTGCGGCTCCTGCTGCGGCGGCTCCTGCGGCTCTGGCTCAGGCTCCGGCTGCCCCGGCCCCTACTTCGGTCCCGTTTTCTTCCTCTACTTTTTGAACTGTGCCTCTCCCGACTCTTCGTCGTGTGTTTATGGGATTTCTTCCCCCTGTGACTGGTCCTCCTTTTCCTCTCAGATTCCCCATTTCTTTTGTAGGAGTGGTCAGCACTAGGGCTTCTCCTCCTCCTAGACCTGCTGTAGTATTCGTCATGATGACCCGCCCTGTCCCTCCTCTCAAAATTCTTCCCAAACGAGGAGCCAGTCCGATCTGGAGACAGGTAGAGGTCTCTGTTAGCCTCCCAAAATTCATTGTTGGGATTTCGGAACACGTGGAGGAAGTTGCAGTGTCTCCCTCTTGGACATTGCTGTATTTCAAACAAGCCTGCAATGGCAAAGTGACAGCGCAGCATGAGTACTATATATTCTAAAAATGGCACTCTGTCCTTTTTCCAAGGGACATTTCTGGGGGCCAGATCCATTTGAGCTATTGCCTCATATATGTCATTGAAAGGGGTCTCTGTGTAAACTGATGTCATACCTTGGTTCCCAGAATTTCAAAAACGTTCAAATGCTCTAACAAACAGCACCGTAACGGTAACAATCCGAGGTATTCATTAGCCAACGTATTTTATAACTCCTCTGGATTAGGGTTTGAAATACAACTGAACAAATGATGACCACAAGATCTTTTCTACAGCTTCATCATCCACTGATTGACCAGCTACATCTCTAATTAACGATGAAGAACCATCCCTGGGAGGCTCTGAAAACAGGTTTAGAAGCCATGGTAGGGGTTGGCACGTGGTACAGCTAGTTAAGCTGCTGCTTGCAGTGCTAACAGCTCACATGGGCACAGGTTCAAGTTCTGACTGTTCTACTTACAACCAAGCTGCCTACTAATGTCCCTGGGAAACCAGCAGAAGACGGCCCAAGTGCTTGAGCCCCTGGCACCTACACAGGAAACAACTCCTGGATCCTGTCCCCAGCCATTGTAGCTATATGGGAAGTAAACCAATGCACAGAAGATCTCTCTTTCTCTCTCTCTCGCTCTCTCTGTGACTTTCACATTTTGTATGACTCTGCCATTCATAAATAAGTCTCTCAAATGAGAGACGCTAGCCTAATGTCTTAAATTTACCATGTACTTTCAATATAGAAGATTCTAGTCAAAAGTAAAATCAATTTAAACCACTCTAAGATCCTTTGCCATTCTAGGACTTTTTCTTTCTTTCTTTTTTTTTTTTTTTTTTGGTAAAAACAGTAAATCCCCCATGTACATAAACAGGTAATATATATTAAAATATAAGTGAAATACCCCCATGTTATGCATTACATACAAAATTTCACTCAAATCCAGTTAGAACCTAAATGTAAGACATTAAACTGTAATTCTGAAGAAACCATGTAAATCTGCCTGACACTAGGCTAAACCATGAAATTCCAGATATGACACAAAAGTACAAGTAAAACAAAAAGTGACCCAGATTTTACCAAATTTAAAAAAATAATAAGGTAAATAAAACATAACACAAAGAATGGGGTGTCTCTCCTCTCCTTTCAAGAGGCACCCCATCCCTCGTATCCCTCCTGCGAGGTGCTCTCTGCTTCCTTCCTCATTTGCCTGTTCACTGCACAAATCAAACTTCTCTGTCTGCAACTGGAAAATAATGGAAGTACTTGAAGATCACACTTGTGATCAGGGTCTTATATGCAGAATAGATCAAGAACTTGGACCCAATAATAAAAAGACAAGTAACCAAATAAAAATGGGCAAAAGATCTGAACAGACATTTATCCAAATGGCAAATAATAGGACATGAAAAGATGGTCAACGTCTTTGGCTACTGAAGAAAATAACAAGGGTATCACTTACACACACACACCCTCACGGCAAAGGCTGTGCGCCCTGGGGCAGTCAGAGCCACACCGAGAAGCCTGAGAGCATCACGCATTCCCAGCGACAGACAAACATTTGCCTTGACGGAGAAGACAATTCCAACCTTTCGTCTTGCACGCCTTCACCTCACGTTTAATTGATCTTCCAGCTATCCTAAGCAAGAGACTGAAACCTTCTTCCCTTTCCTAAGTGATTTTCAAAGCACAGCATCCATTAAGGCAAGGATGCTAAGGACCCAGACTATAAATTATGGACTTTTTTGTAAGAGGTTGCAGCAGGCAAGAGGGCCGAGCAAAGAAGCAGACAGGGTAAGCAAAGTGCTCCTGTGGCATTCCAACCTTGCAGCTCTTCGTCCGGGCACTGGCCACAACCCTCAGGCTAAGCCTGTTGATGGAGGTCAAGAAATAATTAGGTCTTCAAAGCTACTGGCCACTCACCACACTGCAGCCAGGCACCTGCAGCCCGGGACTGTCGGACGGCCCAGTCTGTGTGCAGATGCCACTCCATTACCACGCGCCTACTGCCAAAGCCCAACACACAGGGTCTGGGACCTCAAGTAAGGAGCCAACTGCCATGGGCAATGCTCATGTTAGCAACAACAACCCAAGATCCATTATGGGAAAAAAAAGAATTCAAGTGAGGAGGGAGGAAGAATAGAAAACACCTTCAAAACCATGACAAAGCAGGAGAGGCTACTGCCCACATCTCGAGCATCTCGAGTTGTCAAACACAAAGCCCACGATGAGGGTCACCAAATAGGAAGTCCACCCCTCACCCTGTCCCGATACACTGTGACCTTAGCCCATCCATACAATGCCGCGCAAGGTCTGTTACAGATGTAAACTGTGGTGTCCTTCATTCACGTAAACACCTCCGCTCATCCGCTTGTAAGAAAAAAAGTTTTCCCCCTCTAAGAATACTCCTTCATGTAACATTGGGATGCGTAGGGGGAGAAGTTAGCTCATTGTGCTTTACCACAGATCGCCATCTTCCACCGCGTCACAGGGCAAAATTCACACTGAAGCTGCCGGCCTGCGTACCATCGTCCATTGAACAAAGAAAGGGCTGTTTGACATTCCTCTTCCCTTTAAACAAAAAATCAAAACATGTGCTTTAGTGCAACACAATACTATACATAATAAGCCTATTAATCCCTCTCTTGTGGAAGCACCAAGTTTCTCATTGTACTACCTAGGGAGACCTCACTACAGCATTTAAGATCGCAAAACCCAACATTTCCTCAGGAACCCATTCTAGCCCTTGGAGAGGGCTGAAGCATGGAAACTGGCTGCAGCCAGAGCTTTTGCATCGCAGAGTCTGGGGTGTGCGGCTGGTGCCTTTGTACAGCCAGTAAGGCTGCCATCTGCAGCACCGGCATTTCATATGGACGCCAGTTTGAGTCCCAACTGCTCCACTTCCGACTCAGCGCCCTGCTAACATGCCTGCAAAAGCAGCAGAGGCTGGTCCAAGTATTTAGAGTGCAGCGCCCACCTGGGAGACCCGGAAGCAACTCCTGGTTTCACACTGGCCTAGCTCCTGCCATTGCAACATTTAGGGAGTGAGCCAGTGAATGGTGGAACTCTGACTCTCTGTCACCTTGTCTCTCTCTCTCTGTTAATTCTAACTTTCAAATACATCAGAAAAGATTTGGCCATTAAAAATATACAAGTGGGGCCCGGCGCGGTGGCACAAGTGGTTAAGGTCCTCACCTTGCACGCCCAGGATCCCTCATGGGCGCCAGTTCTAATCCCGGCAGCCCTGCTTCCCTTCCAGCTCCCTGCCTGTGGCCCGGGAAAGCAGTCGAGGACGGCCCAAAGCTTTGGGAACCTGCACCCGTGTGGGAGACCCGGAAGAGGCTCCTGGCTTTGGATTGGCATAGCATCGGCTGTTGCGCTCACTTGGGGAGTGAATCATCGGACGGAAGATCTTCCTCTCTGTCTCTCCTCCTCTCTGTATATCTGACTTTCCAATAAAAATACATAAACCTTTAAAAAAAAAAGTGCCACACACATGAAAGGTAGTCATAGTGAAGAAGCCTCAAATATTACAAGAAATAAAACTATAACAAAACAGAATATTTTATGATCAGCATACTCACGACTGGTATTGCACATATACATTGCCCCTCAGATGAGGTTCCAAGTTGCAGCTGACCTAAAGAGCAATAAGGAACATAACTGTACAAGCTAAGGAAAAGAAACATCCTATTATCCAATGCACTTTGTTTGGTCCCCACAGTGGTTACCAATGAAAGACGCCAAGAGAGAAACATTGGTGCACTCTGCTGCGTGTTAGTTCAGCCTGGAAGAGTTCACAGCTATACACAGCTCTCCAGAATCCCAAACAGCCACGACGCTAGCCACAGTGACCACTGACAGCTCCGTTTTTAACTGAAAATATTTAAGTAAAACATCAAAGATCCAGTTGAAACCATTCCATCCTGTTCTCCCGCCCCAACACACAGGTGTGTTTCATCACATTCCAGACAGGCATCCGCACACTGCCACAGCATCACATCCATCAAACGCATAACTGTGTGTCTGCTGGACACAGTGCCTGTGTGGGGATAGCTCACAAAGGTCATAGGAAAACGGAACTCAAAGATGTTTATTGTGAGGTTAAGAAAACCAGAAATCTATTTACACTAACGCCCTACAAAAAGGCCGCGGGGAATGGGTAGTATAAAAAAGCCATATGTGAATTTTAAAATGATTGGTACGAAAACAAATGTACCTTAAATTTATTTTCTAAAACATTTCTGAAGTCGCCTTGTATACAAAGAAACACGTATATAATGATTTGCCTATATATCTAGAATATAAGCTTTGTACCTCCAAAAATTTTATTTAAACAGTATTTACCCCACATTCATCTTTCAAGATGAATCACATAAACGTATTGCCTCTTAACTACTGTATCCTAGATATGTCAAATTATCAGACCTATTTGTCCACTACTCTAACGTTAGCCATTCAAAGTGCTTCCAATTTTTCCCCATTAAGCAGTGTAGGCTCAGCATTCTTGAACACATCTCTGTGTGTAAGGATTTCTCTCTAAAAGGCAGAACCAGAAGAAGCATGCCTACTTGCACACTACACACACTTTTCACTTCCCCAGATAGTAGAACTACTTTGAGTGGTTTCACTCACATCCTTGCCTACCATTAATATTGCCAGCATTTAATTTTTTTGTCACCTGATACCTGTGAATACTGCTTTTCATATACACTATTCCTGTTATACTTAGCATAAATACTTGATCATTCCCCTTCAATTTGTTTTATACAATGGTATATAAAAAGTCTTCAATAGTGCTCAGTTTTTATCTCTAAAATCTCCAACTTGTGCTCCTGAGTATTTTTATTAGAGCATCCAGAAGAGGGCAGGGTCCACAAGCAGTGGGAGTCTGCAGCACCCTCATCATGAGAAAGAGAACGGGGCCACTGTTGTGGCGTAGTGGCTTAAGGTACTATCTGCAACACTGGCATCCTCCATTGCAGTACCAACTCAAGTCCTGGTTACTATCCCTCTAATCCAGCTTCCTGCTAATGTGCTGGAAGTGGCAGCACAACATGGTTCAAATACTTGGCCTTTTGCCATTCACAGGGGAACCTAGGGGAGTTCCCAGCTCACGGCTTCAGCCTGATTCAGCCCTCACTTTTGTAAGCATTGGGGAAGCACAACAGCAAATGGGAGTGCTATCTCTCTCTCTGTCTCCCTCTCTCCCTTTCTCCCTCCCTCGCTTTCAAACAATCCTTTTTAAAAATGCGGTGGGGAGGAAAGGCCTTGAGAGTCTGTGTCCACCAAGCCAGGGACCTTAGAGAACATGGAACCAGTTGTTTGCAAGAACCTGTTATTCGTTTCCTATAATACATTCAGTGTCCTGAACAATTCTCCTATTAAACAAGTATTAACCAACTTGCCATAAGTAACTGCCAATATGATTAGCATGAGCTTGACCATTCTATCAGAGTAATAATTCTAAACAAAAGAAAATACCTCATGGTTAGTGGATGCAACCTGTTCAGGTAACAGTGCAATTCCTGGTAACCAGATACAAGTTTTTAAGACAGCTTCAGCACTACTACTTCACAGAACCAGTACAATCCAGGGTGACCAGGAGGGCAAGTACTAATACAGTCCCATTACTTCACTTTCAGGATAAGGAAAAGGCAGACAGAGATAAAATCGTGTGTCTGAGAGCACAGGGTTCGTGAACCCACACTGCGGGCAGCCAGCACTGCTAACAGTATGCTGTGGCTGGAACAGCATTTGCACATTAGTGCTGACTGTCAAGGAGTAGTGTGAAGACAGGAAGGGGATAGGCCACTGAAAGCAAGGTTAAGTGCAAGAGATTTGGGAGGAACTTTTTAACTTTGAAATAAGTAGTTGGAAGTGAAGCCTTGACTTTCATAAACATCTCACCGTCATTTCCAACTAGCAGGGAGGAAAAATACAGCTTTAGTTCTATCTTTAGCCAAATAAGCAATATTTCCCTTGCCCCAACCTAGCAAAGTCATTCAGGTTGACATGATCAAATCACAGACAAGGTAAGAAACTTCTGTCAGGACTCAACGAGTGGATTCCAGCAGCAGCAGTGGCCACATCTGCTCCTACCCTCACTTTGAGAAAATATACGTGTGTGTGTGTGTGTGTGTGTGTGTGTAACCAGATACACAGAACTATTTATTCTTTCTTTTAAAGACAGATTTGCAGAGAGGAGATACAGAGAGCTTCCATTTGCTGGTTCATTTCCTAAATGGTTGCAACGACTGGAGCTGGGCCAGTGCAAGCCAGGAGCCTGGAGTTCCTCCCAGGTTTCTCCCATGGATGCAGGACCCAAGGACCATGGCCATCTTTTACTATTTTCCCAGGCTATTAGCAGGGAATTAGATGGAAACTAGGGCAGTGGGGACACAGACCAGTACCCAGATGGGATTCTGGCACTGCAGGTTGAGACCCAACCTAGTACACCACGGTACCAGTCAGAGAGAAATATTTTTTAGAATATGTGTCACCTGAGCTCCCCTTTTTTATGCAATAGGCTGCAGCACAAACCATGCTTCTGGGGACTCTATTCAGAAATACGAATAACAAAAAATACATTAAGAAAAAAGAATCAAGGTTTATGTTCTTGTGCAGCACAGAAGAGAGAACAACATCTGGGGTGCAACTATCAACACAATGTGCCAGCCAGTGAGCGCAGTCGGGTCACATGCAAGCCCTTGGTAAGATGCCTACAGATGACAGAAGGGAGCCCGAGGCCTAGGGTACACAGCCCCACAGGGAAGGCCTGGGCCAGGCACTGAGGGCCTCATACAGAGAACCAGAATGTTCAAAGAGAGCTGGAGCACAAGGTAGTGATCACAAGAAATACCCACGAGAACACATTTACGCTCTCACAGGCTGCCTAGAAAGCATGAGCCACAGGAGGGGGGAGGGGAGGCAAAATAAGTGACACTTATCAGGGGCGTGCCCAACCCAAGGGCAGGCACATAGTGACACATGGCTCCACCCAGGCATAGCCTGGCCTCAGCCCTCTTGGGCCACTGAGTACTTCAAGCTCAAGTGCACCAGTCCCCTCCTCCACAAGCATGCTCACCTTGAACTGAACCACTCTGCCCACATTCTTGAATTCAGGGAGCACATCATCATAGAAGTCAAGGAACTGCTGGTAGGTTTCTTCCTCACTGTACTCGAGGCTTGCATCGGGGTCGTAGTCGTCCCGTCTGCTCTGCTCCATTCCAAATGTTGTAAACATGCTTTTGATCAGAAGGGTGGGGCTAGATGTTGGGAAATTATGCTTACGTGAACACCTACATACAAAAGAAAAGCAAATTAGCTACTCATTAGTTTAGAATTACACATAAAAATTTGCTTTAAACTATGTGATAAGGATTCAAGTAACTCAGCTCTCTGGACTGTCATACGACAATAAGCCCCGCTCAGACGCCAAGTTTCAGCACTTGGGAAAACTGCTCTAGGACTGGTCAATACACTGGCTCTCATTAAAACATCAAGTTGAGAATTACTTCCAAGTTTACATGCATTCAGCAAGCTTTGAATGAAATTCGGGAAGCCATATATTTATGTTGAACCATACAGACCAACGGGCTTGGCAGGTTGTGGTCACAGGCTTGAAGATGCTATGTACAGGGCTTAGGCGTGAGAAGAAACATTAGCATCAGATGCCTGCTCATCTTCAGTCCCTAATGTACTTGGGGAACTGGCGGAGCTAAGAACCTCCAGCTAATGGAGTATTTCCGTCTCATCCATTTGGAATATACTGCAGTTCTCTCAGCTTGTTCACATTTTTCCATCAGACTTGCAAACCTTTAAACATTTGCGGCTACTATCTCCCATACTTTGTAAAAAAGTACACTTGACCCATTCCACGGACAAGAAGATTCAAGTTAACCTAGAATCCCATGCCCTATGGGGCCAGATAAATAGGATTTAATTTTTATTTTCTGAAGATGGTTATCCATTATGAACAATTCTCTTTTCATAGTTTAAATCAGACCAACGTTGAGCTAACCATGCTATGCTGGAGTAATTTTTTAATCTGTCCCATAAATTTACCTTTCTCAGTACAAATAAGGGGTGGGACTGGGGGGGATATGTGTCAAAGTTCCAAAGTTCCAAATGAATATCCTGGTTAGATTTCTGATTAAAGATTGGAAATTCAACATTTTTAGGAAAAAAATTTGTGAAACAAAACTGAGAAATCGGGGACGTGCTGGGGGAAAACAATGGTTAGAAACGACTCATGTTTAACCTGACTTACTTCCCATGCTTGCTACATGGATTTATAAATCTACCAAACTCATTCATGCAGAATGCACATCCCACCCCGCGTCTAGCTCAGAAATATCCAATCTGGGGCTGGTGCTGTGGCTCAGCACTTTAAGTCACTGCCCCACAGTGCTAAAATCTCATAACACAGCGCTGGTTCAAGTCCCAGCTGCTCCATTTCCTATTCAACTCCTTGCTAATGTGCGTGGGAAAACAGTGGAAGATGGCCTAAGGTCTTGGATCCTTGCGCCCACGTGGTACACCTGGAAGGAGTTCCTAGCTCTTAGCTCAGCCTGGTCCAGATACAACTGGCATGGCCATTGGGGGAGTGAGCCAATGAATGCAAGGTTTCTCTGTCTGTCTCTCCTTGTCTGACTCTGCTGTTCAACCCTGCACTCATAAGGAAGACTTCAACCAAGTTTCTGCCTCTGGAGGTCATTTGCAGAGTGAACCAGCGGTGGGAAGATCTGTTTCGCCTTCTCTTTGCAATTCTGCTTTTCAAGTAAAAATGAATAAGTCTTTTTAAAAAAAATTCTTCTTGCAGATTTCTCAGATTGGAATGACCTTGGTCCTACTTCCCAGAGTGGCAAATGAGCATTTGTCAATTTTAGAACACAGTCGAAGTTCCCGTGTAGGGGAAAATTCCCACTTACCATGGAGACAGTCTTCATAATCTGAATGTATTCAAAGGATCAGCCCTGCTTCTTCTGAAAAGTCAGCTGAGAGAAGTGATTTTCAGATGGCTCTTAAAGCTACTGTACTGAGCCTGTGTGGTTTTTAGAATTACCTGGGAAGAACCAAGAGTTTTGTATCCTGCCCACACCTTATGCTCAGACCTCAGGCAATAAGGAACCCATGTGGTCTTGAAGACAAACCGCATTTGGGAACCACTGATTGTGGACATGCCATTTACCTACTATGCTTATACTTGAGACACTGAATCAAACTGTCAGAAAAACACGCAGCTGAACTTTACCTTAGCCGAAGAGTGCCCAATTAACGGTGTGCTGTGCAACACCTCCTCAGGTGAGGACGATCAGTGCCCACTGCCTGTCTTGCACAAAACCACTGCACCACACTCTAAAGTTAGGCTGTGCAATTTATCAAAGCCACTGTCAAATATTCCCATGAGAACGACACATGTGCTGTTATAAAGCATCAAAGTTACTATTTACCTCATTGCTCATGTCTTTCTACAACATCCCAAGGAGAAACATCTTGATTCTGGTGCCCAGCAAGTCTCTTCCCAGTGAAACTACTCCCTCTCCCTTTTGGTAAGAACTATACACTTAGTCATTGTCTGCTCCTTCTCTGGGTGAGCTGAAATCCCCAATCAAAAGCATCACGCACTCACAATAACTCACTTTCTTCCCCTTTTCTTGTTTTCCATTTCCTCTAGTGCAACTTAGTACAGTGAATCATGAGCCTTTTAAAAATATTTCTGGAACTAGGTGAGGTATAAATAAACACCCAAATTTTACCTTCCATCAGTAATTATGTTCTAGAGAAAGAGAACTCTCTTCAGCCTTGATTTTAAAAAATCCAAAAGTTTTGAAAATTGGATACTATGGTAATTACACAAACCAAAGAAATGCTTAGGCTGAGTCAGAATTATCCACACTTCTCCCAAGGTGGGGTGGATGCCAAGTTTCCCAAAATACCTCTGCAGAATTTCAGAATTTTATGTTACAACTCATCATGTGAATGATGAAATAGTCAAACCATCCTTGCACTTCGAGAGCCATTTCTCAGAAAAGTGTACTGTGTTCTAATTAGTTTCTGAACATTTCTTACTTTCTTTGTAAGCACAGGAAATTTCACCATCATAACTATCAGAGGTGAGGATCTAAGGGGGTAACAAGCTACTCACTACTCCCCTCCCTGTCAACTGAGTTTGTGGAACCACTTAGGATATATCCCTTAGTGGGTCTGGCAGAGGAACTGTGGGCACTCATCTGCTGGACTGCAGCTCCCACTGACGAGCATGAGAGCCAGGGCTGGGAGCAGGCCAGCTGTCAAGGCAGCAACACCTATCAGCATATGTGTGGGCTGGATCTAGGGGCAGGGCGGGCTGACCAGAAAATACCAGGCCTGGGGATCAGGCTAGGCAGGGATTATGGGGGCTGTCACAACTAGGCTATGGTATCTGCAGTTATGTGTGAGGACTGGGCGTGAGAGATAGAGCCTTGGTGGAACTGCCAAGCAGCTCCATCTACCAGTATATGTGCTGAGTGGTGCAGGTGACAGAATGAACCTGACTCTGAACTGGCTAGTGCACACAAAGGTCAAGTCTGAGATCAACCCCGGATGAGGTTTCCGGGGGATTCCTTGACTAGACCGCTGGGCTCAAACCCTAGTCACAGGGAAAATCAGAGTATTTAGTCTGACCTTGGAGTACCTATATTGAACCTGGACCTCCTCATTTGCTGATGCCTGTACAGTAGATGGCATGCCCAGATGCACACAGGGGACATGACAGCCAGTTCACCTAGGCTAGGAGAGGATACTGCATGCCTCATCAGAGAATGGAAAGCAAAACAGGTTGGTCAACTCTCCTGGCCAAGTTTTGCAGCATGCTCCTGGACCTGTGGATGCATTAGGTAGACTTGGTCAGCCAACAGACCTTGGAAAGATTTTTCTCAACCTTGTACAATGAAGCTGATGAATCTCAGAACTATCAAAACCACTCAAGAAACTCCCTTGGAACACTATCCATTAAGTGACTGCCCCCAATCCGTGGGTGCTGTAGCTTGACAGCAAGAAGAGCCACCTATTCTCTGAAGACACAGGAGGAAAAAAATGGAAACATTCATCCCACTCACCTTCCTCCACAGCTCGACCCTTCCCAACCTAATCACAGGGCCATTTCCCTCTCAACTATATAAGCAATATTAAAAATAAAATTAAAAATTTGAAAAAAGGATATCTCCCTTTTTCTCACTTAGAATCAACAAGAAAATAATTCAGAATGAGGATTCTAAAGTCTAAACAAAAACAAGATCCTGCAGCTGAAAAATTTTAACTGTAATTTGATTGACCTTTCCAAGCAAATAGTAACTGTCTTTGAAAGTTAATTTGCTGTACTTTTTTTTTTTTGCTGGGGGTGTTTAAAACAGTGCAAGTCCCACTATTTCTAAGATTAAACATACATTTGGAAAACACTTCTAAAAAGTATCCAGGAGAGTAAAGTCTTTCTCCTTCCCCTAGATCCCATTTTCCCAAGAAATGACTTACTACTACTTACCAGATGCTGCAAATCCTCTTGTAGGCATCTACAATCTCAGCCAGGAAATGCAAAAGCAGCTCCTTGGGCCCAGCACAATGGTTCAATTGGCTAAATCCTCACCTTGCAAGCACCAGGATCCCATGTGGGTCGTGTTGTGGCTGCTCCACTTCCTATCCAGATCCCTGCCTGTGGCCTGGGAAAGCAGTATAGGATGGCCCAAAGCCTTGGGACCCTGCACTTGTGTGGGAGACCCAGAAAGAGCTTCTGGCTACTGGCTTTGGATTGGCTCAGCTCCAGCCATTGCAGCCACTTGGGGAGTGAACCAGTGGACAGAAGATCTTTCTCTTTCTTTCTCACTGTAAATCTGCCTTTCCAAAAACAATAAACAAATATTTAAAAAGAAAAAAAGAAAAAGTTTGGGCATAGGACTTGAATTGCAGTCTATATGGTGTAAGGCAGCTTAAACTATTGAGCCACAACATTGACCCTAAGAACAAACATTTTTAAAACTTCCTAGATGATTCTAGTATGCACTCAGAGCTGAAAAATCAGTGTTCTTAAAACATAAAAACTGGGCCTAGCGCAGTAGCCTAGTGGTTAAAGTCCTTGCTTTGCACACCTGGAATCTCATATGGGCACTGTTCATGCCCCGGCTGCTCCACTTCCCTTCTAGCTCCCTGCCTGTGTCCTGGGAAAGCAGTCCAGGACGGCCCAAAGCCTTGGGAACCTGAATCTGTGTGGAAAACCTGGAAGAGCCTTCTGGCTCCTGGCTTCAGATCAGCTCAGTTTCAGCCATTGTGGCTACTTGGGGAGTGAACCAGCGGATGGAAGATCTTTCTCTCTGTCTCTCCTCCTCTCTGTAAATTTGACTTTCCAAGAAAAAAAAAAAATAAATAAATATTTAATAATAATATTAATGAAATAAAAACTTATGTAAAGGCTTAAATTGAAAAACACTCATATTTTCAAAGAAGGAAAATAATTCACATCATGGTAATATTATAAATAAAATAAACCCAAGAGATGCGCAGGTTCTCACTATATACACATGAATTTTCCTATTCATAGCCCTTTTTATGACTGATAGAACATTAGTAGTAACATTAGTTCTTCTCTTTGCAGAATGTTAATAATAATTAGATTTTGCCTCAGATGGATTCATCTGGCATTAAGAATTTCTACCACCTTTGAATTGTTCATTCACAAGCAAGTTAAATTTCAAAAGCCACAGTTAAATGGCATACAGTAAATAGTTAAGAAATATTTGCGAAATGACTGAAGAGATCAATGGCTTTCATATAGGAGGATGTGTCAAAAATTGTTTTGGAAAAGTTGAATTAAAAGATGTTTATATTTGTTGCAAAAGATTTTGGAAGACATGCATGCATGCTTATGAAAATATGGATTATGACAAATAGCTATATACAGATTTTAAAATTTTCTTGCACAAGGACAAGTGTTTGGTTTGGTAGTTAAGACACCACTTGGTAGCCTGCAGTGGAGTCCCAGCTCCACTTTGAATTCCAGCTTCCTGCTAATGTGCATCTTGGGGGAGATCGGGTGATATTTCGGGTTGCTAAGTCCCTTGCATTCCCACATGTTGAGTTCCCAGCTCGCAGGTTTGGCTCCCAGTTGTCTGGGCTCTTGTACATATCTGGGGAGTAAACTCTGTGTTTCAAGTAAGATTTTAAATAACTTGATTAAAGAAAAAATAAAGCAAACTTGATCCAAAAGAGGCAAGGAACAGGAAACAATGGTGACAATAATAATAATGAAAATATAGTTGGTCCTCAATATCTGCAACTTACACACACACAGACCCCAACAACTGCAGATGGAAATATTCAGGAGAAAAACCACTTCTATACTGAACAGGTAAATACTTTTTCCTCATCATTATTCCCTCAATAATATAGTACAACAACTACTTATATTGTATTCACATCATATTGGGGTTAGAAGTGTTCTGGAGATAAAGTATCCAGGAGGATGTTATATAGATGATATGTAATACTTGGCCATTTTATATAAAAATCAAATTGAACAGCCTCAAATTTTGGTATCTATGGCAAGGCATGGCAGTCCTGAAACCAGTTACTCATGGATACCATAGGATGATGGCAGCACTCAGCTGGTGCTCAGCATACCTTCATCTACACATTCTCCTACACGGCCTTTCTCAAGGGTGGCACTTCTACTCCTCCTTTCACAGATGAGGGTGGTAAAGCTCACAGATCTTAAGGAGCTTTCCCCAAAGTGGCACTCATTGAAGCCAGGGACCTCTTCCTGACTCTGAGCGTGCTAGGCGTTAAGACATCACTTGGGGCCTGCATCCTGTATCCAAGTCCTTCCCGTTTCAGCTTCCTGCTAAGACACTCCTGGAGGAGAGCAGGTGACAACTTCTCAGAGGATGCGGATGGAGAGAATGGAGGACCACCGGCTGAGCAAATGCAGCAACAGCAAGAAAGAGGCAGACATTGGATTGACATTTCAAACTGAAGCCAGTGCCTCTCCCAAGCTCAGAAACTTGACATTTTGAATCACTTCATTCTGACAGGATAATGCACACTTAGTTACCTATCTCCAAATCTGCAAGCTCCTGTTTTATTGTAGAATGGACAGTTAGCTCGATCTTTCTCCATGACTCTCAGATCTGCCGGTGGTTCCGGGTTTTGCCACGTAGTGCCATTTTCCAGCTGTTGAAAATAACCAAAATTTTACTTTTGTGTAAAATTCCATGCCAACTAAAAGTTTCAAAGTTCATTCAAACACTTTCATCAAAAAGCAAGAGCAAGTGGCCTAAGGAAAAGCACTTGGGCTGAAACAGGCAGTCCAGCCTTTCAAAACAATCGCGTTCCCAAGTGAGCTGTTTCTCTCTTGGCTCTGGGTCACCATCCTGCCTCACACATCACTGCTGCCAGGGTCAGCCACTGGGACTCCCCTTCCAACCAGCGAGCCAGAAAATGAACTAGGGACTTCTGAGAGAACTCCCACTGAGAAAAGCAAAAGTAATTCTGCACCAAGGTGAACTGTCCATTTGCGACCAACAATATGCCATGTTGCTTCTGCATGCCTTCAGAACTCCAGGGAAGTACAATCCCGAGGGCGACTAAAAACCAATTATTTTTGTTGATCAATAAACTTTCATTGTTGTTAAATAAACCAGAGACTCAAACTGTTTCTATACACCAAGATGTGATCAAAATAGTCTACCACAAAACTAATCTTACTGGAACTATTATTTCTAAAGAAATATTACTTGGTCCCAAATTCTACTGAAACATTTCGAAAATACCTCATTTTCAGCCTGATCCAGCATCTTCTTCACAGCTTCCTACAAATGGTGCAAACACAGGACTAATGAAAACCTAGAAATCAGGTAAGTCACATCTGGTTTCTCTGGTTAAGAATCTCATGTTTAACGATTAAAACACACATACATAAACACACACACACACACACAAACTTTCAGGCTGTAATTCTGTTTTCTAAGCACAGATCTTCTGAAAGGCTTACAAAGGATGAATGAGGGTACTCAAAAAGTTCATCAAAGAGAGAATTAACTTTTTTTTAACTATCTCCTTTATTCGAAAGGCAGAATGACAGAAAGCTCTTTTACTCGCCATTCACTATCCCGAGCACCCCAACAGCCAGGGCTGGGCCGCCCCCCGCCCCCGCCCGTGGGCCATCACCTGCTCCTTGCCAGGCACATTAGCAAGAAACCAGATCAAGAGCCAGCTCAGGAGGTAGGCTGAACCACGGTGCCTACTACAAAAGATGTGTATTTGACACAAAAATCTGGAATCCATGCATTTTTTTTCAATATGAACTTTCTGAATACTGCTCTATGCATGAGTTTCCATTTTCTAGCAGCAAAATAAACTTATCTTTTAACCCTATTTCATGAATTTCTTAAAGTACCTTTATCATTTAGAGCTAAATATTTTTATTTAAACAGAAAATTTAATAAAGCACATTAAAAATAATTATAAAATCTTATAATGGTTTCAGTTACACTTTACTATACTTCAACATAGTAGCACATTCCAGCTTTTAAAATAAGATACTAGTGAAGATTATAAAACACAATGTTAGGGGCTGGTACGATGGCTCAACTATCTAACCCTCCACCTTGAAGCACCAGCAACACAGATGAGAGTCAATTTGTGGCCCAGCTGCTCTACTTTCTTCTTCTTTTTAAAAGATTTATTTATTTTTTATTGCAAACTCAGATTTACAGAGAGGAGGAGACACAGAGGAAGATCCTTCGTCTGCTGATTCACTCCCCAAGTAACTGCAACAGGCACAACTGAGCTGATCCAAAGCCAGGAGCTTCTTCCAGGTCTCCCACGTGGGTGCAGGGTCCCAAAGCTTTGGGCTGTCCTCGACTGCTTCCCCAGGCCACAAGCAGGGAGCTGGATGGGAAGTGGAGCCACCAGGTTTAGAACCAGCACTCACATGGGATCCTGGAGCATGCAAGGCAAGGACTTTAGCTGCTGGCTACCACACCGAGCCCCCACTTGCCCCACTTTCAATCCATCTCCTTGTTGGTAACCTGGGAAAGCAGTAGAGGATGGCCCAAGTCCTCAGAATCCTGCACCCACATGGGACACCAGAAGCTCCGGGCTCCTGGCTTCATCTCAGCTCAGCTCCAGCCATTGTGGCCACTGACAATGTGAACTGGTGGATGGAAGATCTGTCTGCTTCTCCCTGTAAAATCTGCTCTTTCAATAAAAATCAACCAACCTTTAAAAAAAAATGAAACAAAACACAATGCTACCTGAAATATAACTAAAACTAGAATATAACAAGCCAGGCAGTACTCAGTTATTCAAAGTTTTCAATGAGGCAAAGGCAGCCCTACAATACGCCAGTAAACAGACAATGGACAAAATGTAAATTCTGACTAACAGACTAGTCTTCCTAGCCTCTTAAAACATGACCCAGGGCTCTCATCTAGCAGTCACTGCTAACTCCACTTAGTTATACTACCTTCCTTGGGAACTTGACACACTTGTCAAAGCAGAACTCCTGTGCTCCCCTACTCGCCTCCCCTACTCCACTGAAAGCACTTCTCAACAAATCGCGCTGACTTTTGCTCACTTGTTTAAAGGAAAACCTGAAAAATACTCCCTTCCACTCAATCTAACAACATGTCCTACAGACTCACTAACACACTCTCAGTTTGCACACTTTTTTTCATCAAGCACTACCTTCAGGCAAACCACTATCACCTCCCATCAGCCCTCTAGATCACCTGTTTCCACTCTTTCCAAGATCAGTGCTCCCCGGCCCCTATTCTTCATACAGAAGTCAGAATGATGTAGTGAGGATCAAGTCTGTAACAAGATCACTCCCGGCTTTAAAAAAAAAACCCTCAGGCCCGGCGCGGTGGCGCAGTGGTTAAGGTCCTCACCTTGCACGCCCGGGATCCCATATGGGCGCCAGTTCTAATCCCGGCAGCCCCGCTTCCCTTCCAGCTCCCTGCCTGTGGCCCGGGAAAGCAGTCGAGGACGGCCCAAAGCTTTGGGATCCTGCACCGGCGTGGGAGACCCAGAAGAGGCTCCTGGCTTTGGATCGGCACAGCATCGGCCGTTGCGCTCACTTGGGGAGTGAATCATTGGACGGAAGATCTTCCTCTCTGTCTCTCCTCTCTGTATACCCGCCTTTCAATACAAAATAAAAATCTTAAAAAAAAAAAAAACCCTCACTAGCTTCCCACTGCACTTACACACAATCCAAACTCCGCTTCCAGATCCAGCAGGCCTTGTCTGGCATGGGCCAGCCACCCTCCAAGCTTGCTCGGGCCTCCTACCTCTTTTGGCCTTTGGCTTGCTGTCAGCCTCTGGGTTTCAGGTGCCTTCCCCCTGGATGCTTCACAGTTAGCTCAAACATGACATCCTCAGGGGATTCTCCAACCAAGCAACCTAAAGAAGTACTTCTCCAACCCTCATCACTTTCTCATTAACACAGAAAACTGGCTGTTGATATACAAGGTATCTGCTTTGCTTACTTACCCGACATGCCTACCTAAAAACTTAGCTAAGGGGACCATCATGGTGCAGCAAGCTAAGTCGCCACCTGCAGCAACATTTCACATGACCACAAGGTCAAGTCCTGATCGCTCCACTTCCCATCCAGCACCATGTTAATGCCCCTGGAAGGCAGAGGAAGATGGCTCAAGTGCTTGCACTTCTGCTGTCCATGTAGGAGACCAGGATACAATTTGAGGCTCCTGGCTTCAACCTGGCCAAGCTGCAGCCATTGGGGCTATTTAGGGAGTTAACCAGCAGGTGGTAGTTGCCTCTGTAATGCTGCCTTTCAAGTGAATAGATAAACAGCACAGGTGTTCCCTGACTTGTGGTAACTAATACATAGATTATAAAACAATGTTATATACATGAGCAAAATTGACATTTTCAGATTTTATTATTGTTTACATCCCTTGCCCATACTCCAGACAAACAGTGGTTTTTCTACTTACTATTTGTGAGTTCACTTAGCTGAGGCTAAGTTTCTGATTATAAAAAAATCTGCAAGTATGTCATTGTAAAACTTAGAAGAAAAGTAAGAAAAGGAGGGAGGGGAGGGGAGGAAGTAGCCTTATGTTCTTAAAGTTGTAAATATGAAATATATAATTTGTTCCCTTTTTGTAGATAAAAAACTTAAATAAAAACCTAGCTCACCGAGAGCAGGGCCAGCCTCTCACTGCTCTCTGTCTACCAGACAAGACATAAGCACACATATCAAGTCTTTCTTTACGTACACTTGGAACCTCTTATTTTAGCCGCTTCTAAGTGTCTCGGTAGACACCCTTTGAAGCAGAAGCATGTACAATAGGCTTAGCTTGCTACCTGAGCCTTAAGACCTCAAAAGAAGAATGTAACAGGGAAGCACATAAAACGGATTGATTCATTTCTATTTAAAAATCACAAGCTCCAACATTATTTTTTTCTGTTCCCTAAAAACCTAGCATAATCTTGCCTCATGTGAATGTCTAAAATTGAACATTACAGGATGATTATTAATGCTACCCAACTGCAGCTACTCAAATTTATCAATACTGCAGAAAAGATACATCCTGATGGAGCAGTCAAGGAAAGATGAGCGGGGATAGCTTTGAAGTAGGTAACTGTTAAGGAATAGCAGCAAAATAGGTCAAATCAATCTTTTAAAAAATGAATCCTGGAATATACAGAACATATGCACATTTTTCTTACAGATTCCCTTCTAAATAAGCAATGGTGTATTAGCTACAATTTCCTTTATACCCCAGGACAGAAAGGAAGTAAAGATTTAATAACAACAAAAAACGTTCCCATTTTTTTGTATTTATGACCTGTCATAAGCACTTAAATATCTTATAATCTAAGTACAAATGGAGCCTATACAAAATATTTTCCAAAGAGACCTATGCATATAGGGCAAAATCTCAGAAAAAATACTGCTCACTATAGAGCAACACAGAATAGAAAGTGATCCCCGACAATTTTGTAAACACTGAAACACAGCCACCCCGAGTCATTCACATACTGCTTATGGCTGCTTCCGGGCTACACCAGCAGAGCCACACAGATCACCAAACCTATAATAGTTGCTATCCAGCCCTTTATGGAACGTTTGCCAGCCCCTGCTATTTAAAAAACAAAACAAAACAAAACAAAACAAAACAAAAAACAAAACTGAGTACAGTTGAAGGAAGCCTTAATTTTAGGAATCTAATACATGACTCTTTCCAAACAAACAAACAAAACAATAAAAAAAAGAAAAACACAAACGCAAACCCTGAGCCACCTCCAGCTTCCTGTGCCAGCACACCGCAGGGCACAGCTGGACACTGGCAGGATATTCAGTGCTTTTAGCCTCCCAGGACAGGAATCACCTCTCTCTCCTTCTTCTCCTGGCGTTTCTGTTCCTCCTCTTCCCTCTCTTTTCTCTGCTGTTCTTCCCATTCTTCCTTCAGCTTTCTCTTCAAATAGAAAAACAAAGCAGGGAAAAGGCAGTTTTTACTTTTCCAAAGTGTACTTTTTTCAAAACAGTTAACACACAGGGCAAATCAATTAACACATGTAAAGTGGGTAATACCAAATTGTTTAAAATTGGACACGTGCAACTCCCAATGAGAAGTGTCTCATGGAGCCACTACCGTGTCAGGCATCTGACTGAGTGTACCTCTTGCTCCTCCTGTCGCCTTCTATTGGCCTCTTCCCTTTCCTTCTTTATTCTGAATTCTTCTTGCGCCTTCTGCTCCCTCAGCAACCACTCTTCATGTAATTTTTGCCTATCATTACGATGACAATAAAAGAGAAATGGGAATTTATTTGCATCTATATACCATATAAATACAGTTGCAAAATGATACATTTGGAGAATGATTAATATCACCAGGGCCCGGCGTGATGACTCAGTAGCTAAATCCTCACCTTGCATGCGCACAGGGATCCCTTAAGGGCACTAGTTCGTGTCCTGGCTACTCAGCTTTCATCCAGCTCCCTGCTTGTGGCCTGGGAAAGCAGTGGAGAACGGCCCAAAGCCTTGGGATCCTGTACCTGAGAGGAAGACCCAGAGGAGGCTCCTGGCTCCTGTCTTTGGATCCTTTCAGCTCCAGCTGTAACGGCCACTTGGGCAATGAACCCGTGGATGAAAGATCTTTCTCTCTCTCACTCCTTCTCTCTGTAAATCTGACTTCCCAATAAAAATAAGTAAATCTTTAAAAATAAATAAACAAAATATAAATATAAAATATCACATGACATTTCCTAAAAGCAGTGAACTCGGAGCAGAGAAGTAAAAGGTATGAAGCAAGCTTTTGGAAAAGGACAAAATGTTGCCGCACACTCTTCCTGCGGGATGCTCACGGCAGCCATTACCCCAAGCGCACAGGGATCTGAGCTGTGACTGTCCTTACATGGCACACAACTTCCCTTTCAGGCCGAGCACTGTGACAGTTAGGCACCAGAAACATAGCTGCAAATTCCAAAACACTACATAGCTTTTCTCATACAGAAAACATTATTCCTCTTTTTTTTTTTAACATTTGTTTATTTTTATTGCAAAGTCAGATATACAGATAGGAGGAGACACAGAGAGGAAGATCTTCCGTCCGATGATCCACTCCCCAAGTGGACACAATGGCCAGAGCTGAGCTGATCTGAAGCCAGGAACCAGCAGCTTCTTCCAGGTCTCCCACGCGGGTGCAGGGTCCCAAGGTTTTGGGTCGTCCTCCACTGCTTTCCCAGGCCACAAGCAGTGAGCTGGAAGGGAAGTAGAGTAGCTATGATATCAACCTGCGCCCATACGGGATCCCAGTGTATTCAAGGCGAGGACTTCAGCCATTAGGGTGCTGCACTGGGACCAGCATTAATCCTCTTATTCTGTGCACTTTGAAAGCACCAATTCCTTGGTTGCAACAAAATGAAAACCTGTCATTTTTTGTCATAAACTTTGCTTTACTACTCCATACAGTTGAGAATCCTGCCATTTACCTAAAAACCTAAACTGATGAAAGAAGAAAAATAAAGCTACATTATTATATCTGTAAAATAATGCTACAGATTTTCAATAGATGAAAATCATAACAATAAATTAGCAAGTGCTAGTTCATTTTTCTAAATGACCAATTATAAAGAATTGTTTTCTTAAAGTGGCAAGCCTCTCAGATGTTCAACATCACATATTTCTACTTTAAGCGGGGAGGGGTCATCAGGAGAGTGGCACAGTGCATTAAGCTGCCACTCGGAATGCAGCAGCCCATATCCGTGGACCTGGATTTGAGTCCCAGCTTCAATTTCGATCCCAGCTTCTGGCTAATGCACGCCCTGGGAGGCAGTAATGATGAGGCTCAAGTTCTTGAGTCCTTGCTATGTAGGTGTGAAACCCAGCCTGAATCCTGGCACCAAGTGCTGCACACGTTTAGGGAGTGAACAGTAGACAGACGATGATCTCTTTCAAATAAAACAAAAATAGGCAAAAATTTCTTTACCACTAAAAAGAGGGTCGTATTTCCAAAATTTGTTTGGCAATCAGGTGAACCTAGATTTCACTGTTTCCATGAATTTATAACAGGGAAATGAAATATAAGAAATTATATTATTTCAGGAACATTAGAAATTATGTAAGGTCTTATGTCTGAACTAGAGACACAATTATAATTTTAATCATGCTATGGGAAATTATATTCCATTCTTAACTACAGATTGCAGGAACACACTGCTTAGCCACAGTAGCAGGTGGCGCACTACACACTTCAGAGTTCCTATGCATAGTTTAGAATACCATGTAGATGTTTGGTTATATAGAATTCTGATTTCCTCATCTTTTGCTGAACATATCAACTGCAAGTAACTGAATAAAATGGCATATAAACTTAAATTTTTTATTTAATAAAAGACAGAGACAGGCAGAGAGAGAGAAAAAGTCTGTGCAGTGGCTCACTGCCCAGTGCCTGGAACACCTGGGGTCAAGAGCCAAGAACTCCCTTGAGGCCTCCCTGCCCCTGCTGCCTCCCAAGGTACATATCAGCAGGGATTCAACACCCAAAGGCGGGGTTTCAGGCATCCCACCAGTGTCTCAACAGCCATGCCAAAGGCCTGCAGCAGTATAAATTTAAGATCACAAAAAACTTTAACATGTAATAATACATTATGCATCTATTTTCACATACTCCATAAAGCTATATAGTATTGTCACATAATTAACGTTCTTATTTTTTACTAATAATGTAGTATATGTTATGGCTTGGATAGGGCTTATTTCCTGCATGCAGTAGAGATCCCCAATGTGGCAATAAAAAAGCTGCTGGAACTTGTCAGACATAGATAGGACCTAGTGAACGGTTCTGAGGTCATACAGGATGCACGTAAGAGAAGGAGCGGTACAAAAAGAGCCAGACTGGCTCCCCCCTGCTCTCTGGCTTCCTGTCTCGCCGTGTGACCTCTTCCACACCGGTGTGCCACTGTGATGCCATCTACCATGAGACCAAGCAACAGGGCCTCCTGATCTTGGACTTTCAACCTGCAAAGCTAGGTGCGAAACACACCTCTTGATAAAGCACCTAGGCTTGGTTATTTTATTATAGTAAAAGAAAACAAACACAGTATGCAACACAGTAAGAATAAAAATTAAAATTATAACACTCTTATCAGGTAATATTATCTTAAGTGCTATTCACCTATCTCCTCATTTAATCTCCACAATTCTATGAAGTAATCACTATGATTTTTATCTTCATATATTTTTTTAAAGATTTATTTATTTTTATTGCAAAGTCAGATATATAGAGAGAGGAGAATTACAGAGGAAGATCTTCCGTCCGATGATTCACTCAAGTGACTGCAACAGCCAGTGCTGTGTCGATCTGAAGCCAGGAGCCAGGAATTTCTTCTGGTCTCCCACACGGGTTCAGGGTTGCAAGGCTCTGGGCTGTCCTCTACTGCTTTCCCAGGCCACAAGCAGGGAGCTGGACAGGAAGTGGAGCTGCTTAGAACTGGTGCCCATATGGGATCCCTGCGGTTCAAGGCCAAGGCTTAAGCCACTAGGCCACCATGCTGGGCCCTTATCTCCATATTAAAGACAAATAGATTAAAGCATAGAGATCAAAAAACTCAATACAGGGCCCAGCAGAGTAGCCTAGTGGCTAAATCCTCACCTTGCATATACCTGGATCCCATGTGGGAGCCGGTTCGCATCCTGATTGCCCCACTTCCCTTCCGGCTCCCTGCTTGTGGCCTGGGAAAGCATTTGAGGATGGCTCAAAGCCTTGGGACCGTGCACCCATGTGAGAGACCAAAAACAAGTTCCTGGCTTTGGATCAGCTCTGTTCTGGTCGTCATGAGTACTTTGGGAGTGAACCAGTGGATGGAGGATCTTTCTGTCTCCCCTTCACTCTGTAAATCTGACTTTCCAATAAAAAGAAAGAAATCTTAAAAAAAAAAAAAAAAAAAACAACTTGAACAGAATAAGTAGCAGGACCAAACTAGAACTCTTCCCTAGCTGAATCTAATTCTATAGTTTTTAATTGCTTGCACTTTTAAAAATGTTTTTCCTTTTTAGAAATTCTACATAATATGCTCAGGTAGACAGCAACAACCAAAAAGGAGAAGGAGCACCTTTCATAAGGAACACAACAAATAACTAATGAATATCTACAAAGTTTTTTCTCCTTTTTAAATTGGAAAGCCAGATCAGATTCACAGAGAGAAGAAAAGACAGAGAGGAAGATCATCCACCAGTTTACTCCACAAACAGCTACAATGGCTGGAGCTGAGCCGATCCGCAGCCAGGAGCCAGGACTCTTCCTGGGTCCCCCACACAAGTGCAGGGTCCCAAGGCTTTGGGCCATCCTCCACTGCTTTCCCAGGCCACAGGCAGGGAGCTGGAAGGGAAGCAGAGCAGCCAGGACATGAACCAGCACCCAAATGGATCCCGACACCTCCAAGGTGAGGATTTAGCCAGTGTGCCATTGCGCTGGGCCCAGTTTTTTCTCCTTCTTAGAAAGGTGTTCTGGAGACAAAGTACTGTGGCACAGCCCGTTAAGCCACTTGCAATGCCAGCATCCTGTATGAAAGGTTGCAGTTCAATCCCAGCTACTCTGACTGTGATCCAGCGTCCTGCTACTGCACCTTGGCAGCAGTACGTGGTGCTTCAAAGGCTTGGGCTCTCCCAGCACTGTGGCAGACTCCGAGGCCGTCTCAGGCTTCTGCATCTGACCTACTTCAGTCTTGCTGCTGCAGGAATTCACTAAGTAAGCCAGCGGACAGAATAATGTTCTCTCCCTTTTCCGTCCTCTGCTGCTCTGCGTTTTAAGTAAATGCAAATACATTTTTGTGAAAAATTTTCACAGTGTTTAAGTATACATACTACAAAATTTTCACTTTAGTCATTTTTAAATGTAAAGTTGTGTAGTATTAAGTTCACTAGCATGCATCAACTTTATCTTTTTAAAATTACCCGCATTGAAAAACACTAAGAGAAAAAAAACAGCAGGATACTTTCATTATCTTGAGATGTTAGAAAATTGAAGCCAGATGCCAAAGTCAGATGACATGAAAACGAAACCACAGTCAAAAGGCAAGTAAGGACTGTCCGTCACACTCACGGTAAAGGAGCAATAATATCCTTCAGCGACTCAGAGTAGTGTCTACAAAAAAAGTTTAAGCGTGTACTCTGAACCAGAAAGGTAGAAGATTTATAAGCAATCTACAAATAGGCAATAAAACACATAAAAAGTATTCAGCCTTACTAATTCAGAAATATACAAGATATACAATGAAATGTTTCACTACAGGAGATTTAAAAATTGGTAAAGTCGGACCAGAACCATGGCATGGTACCTAAGCCTCTGCCGTGACGCACAGTCTGTGTCCCAACTGCTCTGCCTCCCATCTGACTCCATGCTTGTGGCCTGGGAAGGCAATGAGAGATGCCTCAAAGTCTGGGGCCCCTGCAACCACACGGAAGACGCAGAAGCAGCTCCTGGCTTTGGATCAGCCCAGTTCATCACTGAGGCCATTTGGGGTGAATTCGTGAGTGAAAGATCCTCCTCTCTGTCTCTCCTTCCCTCTGTAAATCTTTCAAATAAAAATAAATAAATCTTTTTTAAAAAATTGAGAAACTGTGAGTGATGGTGTGTAGAGATATTAAATACCTAGATTCCCCAAAGGAAGGACTACAAACTGGGATGCCCTTTTGACCTGGCCAGCCACATTTTATACTGATTTATCCTTTAATCCCAACCATGTTAACTTTTCATACTATAATGGAATGCCTGAGACAACAAACTCATGAAAAGGTCGACTTTGGTTCACAGCATAGGAGGTTCTCTGGTTTAGCCTCTATGAGGGCAGTGATGTCACCAGTGAAGTGCATGCAAAAGAAAGGATTACACAATGGGCAAGGAAGCAGAGAAAGGCTGCATCTAATCCAGTCTTTGCTAATCACCTTCTCGCACCACAACTACCTCCCAAGGACCCCATCCCAAAAACCTCGCCACCTGCCATCAGGCCCCACCTCTTCCCAATAGTGCCACCCTGTGGACCAAGTCCATAACGCATGAGCTTTGGAGATATTCAACATGAAAATGGATATATGAACCACAGAACCAACAATATTATTTCTAAGTATTTTCCTGAGGAAGTAAGAGGACCATTATCATGGCTGTATAAGCATGGATACTCATCACAACTCTATTTAGTAGCAAAACATCACTGTAACTGGAAAGTCCACCAGTTACAGTCCACAAATTATTAGCAAAGAATAAATTACACTACATCCATACAAGGGCTACTGCACTGCCATTAAAATTCTTCAATCAGATTCTGCATTAACACTGAAGTACTCATAGTAGATAGACATTCGACGTAACAGTAACACACTGCTTGGGGGCGGACACTACAGCATAGTGGCACAAAGCACTACACCAACTTCTTGCAAAGCTGGCATCCCATTTGGATACCAGTTCATGTCCCGGCTGTTTCACTGCCAAGCCAGCTCCCTGATAATGGCCTGGAAAAGGCAGCAGAAGGCGGCTCAAGTGTTGGGGACCCCGCCACCCGCATGGGAGCCCCAGAGGAAGCTCCCAGCCTTGCTTTCAGTCTGGCCCAGCCCTGACTCTTATGGCCATCTAGGGAATGAGCCAGCAGGACAAAAGAGCTCTTGTTTTCTCTCTCTCTCTCTGTAGATCTTTAAAAAAAGACAATGCTTGTGACACTTGCATCCCACGTTTGAGTACCTGGATTCAAGTGCTCGTTTTGATGCCAACTCCATCTTCCTGCTAATGTGCAGCACACTGGGAGCCAGCGGTAATGGCTCAGGTAGCCAGGTTCGCCCCCGTGGGATTCCTGCACTCCCAGCTCAGGGCTGCCTGCTGTGGCATTTGGGAAGTCAGCCAATAGATGGGAGATGTCTCTGTCTCTGCCTCTCAAATAAAATTTTTAAATGTTTAATATGTATACATATACCTAACATATATGTATACATACACATGTGTCTAACATTAAAAGTTACAGAAAAAATATAAATATCTTATGTAAATATATATGTATAGAACATTTTTGCTTTTTCTTTATGCTTATTTGAGAGGTGGAGACTACAATGGCTGAGAATGTCAGGCTAAAACCAACCAAGTGCCAGAAACTCAACTCAGGTCCGACTCCCGGGTGGCAGGAGCCCAACGACTTGAGGCCATTAGTGCTGCATCCCAAGGTCGACATTAGCAGGAAGCAGGAGTGAGGCCTGGAATGCAGGCACTCTGATGGGGGACAGGAGCACCTGACCCTCTGACTGCTAAGTCAAACGCCTGCCCCTAAACTTTCTGAACAGTGGCTACCTTTGGGTGGCTTGCATTTATTAAAGCACTTTCATTTCTTATACTTGTGAACTTGTTGGGTCTTTTTTCCCAAAAACACTTCCAAATTAGCAAAAACAGTGAAAAATCCTTCCATTAAAAAAAATAACGTACAGTTTTAGCTGACCAGCAAGAGACTTCAGGAGTTTACACAAGGATTTTCTAAGATTTTATAGAGAAAACCTGCACTAGTTCGTAAAAGCTGCTGCTAGTCCCAGAAAACCACTGCACTTGCTTTAAGTGCTTCAGCGACTGCTGACCTCTCTCTCTCCAGCAGCTTCTCTTCTTCTAGTTGTTGTTCTTCAGTCAGAGCATCCTCCTCATCCTGGGAGACTCCTGAAAAGATTCATGTGTCTTAGTAAACTATCTGAAGTATTACAGATCCTTGGTCCATAATTTAGGGGGAAATAATGCAATCTTTACAACTATGGCAAAAACCTGCTGTTAAAATTGCCCACTAATAAGAGCTCTCGCTGCCCAAAGAGCACCAGACAGTTTTTTTTAGAAAATATTTATTATTTTTATTGAAAAGGCAGATATAGAGAGAGGAGGAGAAACAGAGGAAGATCTTCCATCCGATGGTTCACTCCCTGAAACAGTTCTAACAGCACCAAAAAGAACAATAATGATACTGAAAATGTTCGATAAAACTTTACTGGGAAGGGAATATTTTACGCCACCTCGGACGGCAGTGGGGGAGAATGCGCCCTGACAACTGTGACAACACTTCAACTACACCTCACAGCTGCGGCACAGGCTTCCCAACACGGGCAGCCAGAGGCCCTGCATCTGCTCTGCACTGCTCCATCAGGCACAGTGTAACCTGAAGCTCCCCAGCAGGACAGACTGACAAGAAAACTCGCTTGAGCTTTTCAAAACCATCAATTCTGCTTAGGGATGACAATGAAAGCTACTACGTGATACCACTGAATTGCTGTTCGTTAATTTAACTGTAGGTTTGATATTGTGGGTCTATGAGACAAGGTTCGTATTCTCGAGATGCAAGCGGAAGGGTTCAGGTGAGAGATCCTCTGAAGTCTGCACCTCCCACATCAACAGAGATGGAGAGAATAAAGCCAGCTGTTACTGACAGGCTTCACGGATATTTAGGGGACAATTTTTTTTTTTAATTTTGTGTACACTGGGACATTTTCAAAATAAAAATACAGTTAAGTGATTTTCAATATACTAGAAATGAAAAAAGTCCTCCCCTACTCAAAATTTAAATTTGAAGAAAAATGAACAGTGAAAGTGGAGGAAAAATGGAGAAAAGCTAAACATGAGCTTCAGGGCACAGAACAGGCACAGAGGGAGCTACGTTGCTGTCTGCAACACTGGCATCCCATATCAGCGATGGTTCAAATCCCATCTGCTCTATTTACCATCTAGCTCCTGCCAACGGACCTAGGAAAGCAGTGAAAGATGGTCTAGGTGTTTGGGGCCCTGCCATTCACATGGGAGACCCAGAGAGAGTTCAGGGCACCTGGCTTAGGCCTGCCTGTGCACCAGGCATTGTCTGTTGTGGACACTGGGCAGCGAATAAGTGGACAGAAAATATGGTTCTCTCTGAGTCACTCTGCCTTTCAAATCACAATATAAATAAACCTTAGAAACTTGCCTAGGACAAGCAGATTTAATATAGTTAAATGAATTTAATATATAAGTGTTAGGTTCTGCTATGCAAAGGTCACATGGCACAGTGGTCACCTGTATCTCCCATGTGGCACAAACACAAGTTGATAAACGAGCACTCGGAGCTGCCTTTGGCACCATAAGGACCAGCTGTAAGGGCAGGTGTCTCAACAAAGACTCTCATTCTAGGATGTGTGGTTTCATTTGGTTTTAGAATTCATAAGTAAAACATATTTCACTAGTTTATTTTTAGAAGCATAAGTATATAACTTAAGTAACTTAAGTAATAGTTTGAGAGTAAACACAGATCTCTTATTTTACTGAACCTTGAGTAAAAATCGCAAAATGTTTATTTAATCAAAACTCTGGACTCTAGCTTATTTTGCTAAAAAAAAAAAAAAAAAAAAAGCAAGCAAGCAAGAAAGAAGCACTTTTTTTCACCAACTGCCTACTATGCACAAGGACTGTGCTGGCTGCCTGCTGCAATTAACGCTGCCCACACCTGTGGCCTTAGATAGTAGAGGAATAGTTGCACACAAACCGTCAGAGAGAATTCATTGTTAACTTTCTCCGCGTGCACAGTACATCGTATCTAAGGGCGCCCACAGCTGCCTGGGGAGGCGGGGGCCACCGCTGCACTTCTATCAAGTCAAACAGCAGCCAAGAGCCCCTACCTGAGTCTCTCAGTCGCGCCAGTTCCTGCCGACGTTTCTTTCGTTTCTCCTTCTTCAGAGCTGCTCTGTACTTTTTGTGGCTGGAAGATGGAACCACACAACATGGGCATCAGCGGCCAGCAGCGCGGCGCTGCCACAGTTCGCTCTCCTTCGGGCCCGATAACAGAGAACCGCTTCGGACAGAAGTCTTGGTCCCCGTGTGTGAACCTTCTCCATCCTTCCACGCCAAGAGGTCAGATACTCGCCCACCCGCCACCAGCTGCCCTCAACTCCCGAGCCCACGGATGCCCGTGACAGTTCAGCCCGAGCCCCTGAAGGCTTCACGCCGCGGCTCACCTGCGCGACCCAGCGCCTTCCGTTTCCGTATGGATATCCTCCATCCCCAAGACCACTGCGCCGTCCCCTTTTCTTGGGAACTTTCCTCCTTCAAAACAGCTTACCTGGGCTTCTCCGGAGACACTGCACTGCCCGGCGCCGCCATTTTACCGTTGCTGTCCCGCCCCCTGAAATCGGACCGGAAAGGCGGACCCAAGAGCCGAGGCGCGCAGGCGCGCAGGGCGGAGAGGCTGGGCCCCGGCGCGGCCGTTAGCAAAGGCAGGAGGTAGCTTTCCGCAAAAGCCCCATCCAGTTCAGAGAGAGGTCTCCTTGCCGAGAAGTGCTCGGCAGCTCGCACCCCGACCTGGAAGTAGTTCTCAACAGCCTCAGAGTTTAGCTCTCCCCGCTCCCAGTGCAGTGTCTTATCTTCTGGCCTCCGCCGTGAGCCACTGAGGAAGCCTCCTCACCCAAAGCTGCTGGCCTCGCTCCCGGGGTGCCGCTCCAGGCTCCACCCCCAGAATGTCTGCACCTATGGGTGCCTCAGCGCTTGAGAGTCCGCCTCATTCCACCTGAACACCCGCTGGTCCGTAAGTGAACCCAGCCCTTGGCCATGCGAAGCTGTGCCTCTGCCTGAGGACTTCACATGGGCCAGTACACAGCCAGAGTATGGTACCAGCAAGGATGGAGCAGAGACCACCCCGGGGGATTGGGGAACTTTGCCATGTTGGAGTTGAGTTTTGAAGGAAGATAACTATTAACGAGGTGGAAGAGGAGAGGGGAGATGGGCTTGCAGGCAGATCAGACAAAAAGCAAAGGCACTGGGTGGTAAAATTCAGATAAGCTGACAATAGCAAGTTTTTTGTTTTTTTTTTTTTTAACCAGGTTGAATTCACTTTATTTTTCTTGTGTAAAAATCCCGGTTATAGCCAACGCTGCAGCCTGGGTCCTATTCACACACACTCAATTCCTGCTAGGAAGACTTACTGAATTCTCTCTTTCCAGAGGCCAGGGGTCAGATAACTGTAGGTCTTGGAGATGGCATAGATGGTGGCCTTGGGAGCCCAGCACAGTAGCCTAGTGGCTAAAGTCCTTACCTTGCATGCACAAGGATCCCATATGGATGCCAGTTCATATCCTGGCTGCTCCACTTCCCATCCAGCTCCCTGCCTGTGGTCTGGGAAAGCAGTCGAGAATGGCCCAAAGCCCTGGGACCCTGCACCCATGTGGAAGACCCAGAGGAAGCTGCTGGCTCCTGGCTTCAGATCAGTTGAATTCCAGCTGTTGTGGTCATTTGGGGAGTCAATGGAAGATCTTTCTGTATCTCCTCCTCTCTGTAAATCTGCCTTTCCAACTAAAATAAATAAATCTTACCAACAACAACAAAAAAAGGTGGCCTTGAAAAAAAGTTATCCAGTGTGGCAGTACGGGGCTGAGGTGTAGTGGTCATCAATAGCAACAGAAACAATTTCTGACAATGAATCCAATATAAAAATGCAAATACTGACTATCAGGAAATAAGTCAGTAGAGCTAGTTTGGGGCGAGGTGTGGAGGAGAGGCTGGTGTGCCACCCTGCAGCATTTAGGCTTGTTTTGTGTGTGGTGAATCCTGGATCCTTTCAAGTAGTGCCCTGTTGTGACCCCATTGTGTTTTGGGTAAATCACTGTGGTTTATAATGTAAAGGATTAAAAGATAAAGGTGCAATACACTATGACAACAATCAAAGTGCAGGGCGGTAACTAATTGTAACAGTGAGAGTGGGGCCTGAGAAAGTGAAATCAGCCCTGCTGTAATCGGACTGTGATGTTGACATACAAAGCCATGTGTAAGGCCAAGAAAAATGTTTCTCTCAAGGACACATTACAGCTACAAAATGACTATCAGCTCCCTTCTTTCAAGTGATTAAGTAACTTCCTTGGCTTAACTTTGTTCCCCTCTCCTTCAAATTGAAATTGTTGCGATACCTAATTACTAACTGCCTCAATGAATGCTCCCCCTATTTCCTCTTCTTGAAACATTTAGAGTAATACACGTTCTCCTTCATCTTCAGGTTGAATTTGTCCTGCTCAGTGTGTCAGTAATATTATAGAGATAAGTGTTCCTGTAGAATGCGTTGGGAATTGAGTATGCAGGATCGTAAGTCTAGTCCTTAAATCTACTTGTCAGTTTTCTCATCTGTAAAAATGAAGATAGTAGGCAGTTCCCATCTTTTGTTTCTTTTCATTTGATGTGAAAGGCAGAGAGAGACGATGGGGAGGGAGGAGACAAAGCTAAGTCTTAGATCTGCTGGTTTACTTCCCAAATGCCCACAAAGCTAGGGGTGTGGAACTCCAGCTGGGTCTCCTAAATAGGTAGCAGGGGCATCTTCTGTCTGCCAGGGTGCTTTAGGAGGGAGCTGCATCAGAAGCAGAGCAGCTGGGACTCCAACTGGGCACTCTGATATGGAGTACGGTCCCAGGCTGTGTCTTAGCCACTGCACCAAATGCCTGTCACCAGTTTCACATCTTGTGAGGCTTTTGTAGTGAAGACTGAATAACATGACTCATGCTATATGTTGACATAGTGGGTATTTCCACAACTGCCTGTTAACAGCGTTATCAGCATCACTGTGAAAACTTTCTTTATGTACTCCTACTATTTGCTTTTTAAATTTATTTGAAACAGTTATATAGAAAGAGGTCTTCTACCCATTGTGTCCCTCCCCAATGACCTCAATAACCAGGATTGGCCAGGTTGAAGTCACAAGCCAGGGACTTCATCTGGGTCTCCCAGGAGGGCGCAGGAGTCCATGTTCTGGGACAGTCATCCGCTGCTTTCCCAGGTGCATGAACAGGGATCTAGGTCAAAGATGGAGTAGCTGGGGCTCAAACCAGCACCCATATGTAGTGCTAGCATCACAGACAGCAGTTCAAGGTGCTGTGCCAAGCACCAGCCCCAATCATTTCATTTTTATAGTATCTACCACAATGTATTGCTCTATCTTGCCTTCTTTTGCTTACTTCTTGCACCAAATCTGAAATAATTTGAAGGTGGAAATTTGGTAATTGCATTCCCAAACTAGATAATGCTGTGGTGGCATGGAATTTTGGCGTCATCAATTTTGCTGGGGGTTTTTTTGGTTTTTTGTTTGTTTGTTTGTTTGTTTGTTTTGCTGACAACTGCTGCCATTCTGAATGTATCAGTATTTCATTTGCTGTTTCATTTCTTACAAATTTTGCCAGACTTTCATTTAAAAACAGTGAGTAAGAGTATCTTCTGAGAAGGCACTCTTAATTATAAAATGATACAGATGTAGATTTGTTATGATTTATAAATAAATGTAAATCTCTTTTAACAGTTAACCGTTGAGTTCATTTTTATGAACAAGATTGAATTGCTCAAGTTAATTTCATTACAGAAGCAATGCTTAAAACCAATTCCATTTTCAAATGATAATTACCATCATTTGAGTTCAATAGGAAAAGATATCTTCCTATATTTACTTGAGTGGATGCCTGCTTTCAAAATAGGTGCATGACAGTCAGCTGCAGCCTTACAGTAGCCCGGTTCTCCTCCCCTTTTTTCCTTGCACTCCTCAAGCATAACTAGGGGCTGGCATCGTGCTACAGCAGATAAAGCTGCCACACCAATCGGTGCTGCTTTAAATCTTGGCTGCTACAGTTCTTTTTTTTTTTTTTTTTAAGATTTATTTTTATTGGAAAGTCAAATATACAAAGAGGAGGAGAGACAGAAAGGAAGATCTTCCATCCAAAGATTCACTCCCCACGTGGCCGCAACAGCTGGAACTGAGCCAGTCCGAAGCCAGGAGCCAGGAATCTCTGGGTCTCCCACGCGGGTCCAGGGTCCCAAGGCCTTTGGCTATCCTCAACTGCTTTCCCAGGCCACAAGCAGGGAGCTGGAAGGAAAGCAGGGCCCCTGGGACATGAACCAGCATCCATATATGATCCTGATGCGTGCAAGGCAAGAACCCCAGTCACTAGGCTATTGCTCCAGGCCCAGCTGCTACAGTTCTAATCCAACTCCCTGCTAGTAGCCTGGGAAAGCAGTGAAAGATGGTCCAACTGCTGGGCCCAGTGCTAGGGACATGGGTAACTTGGATGAAGCTTCTGGCTCCTGGCTTCAGCCTGGCTTAGTCCTGGCCATTGCTGTCACTCGTGCGTACACACATGGGTTGGGGAGCTAACCAGTAGGTAGAAGATCTCCCTCTGTAGATCTAACTTTCACATCAGTAATCTTTAAAAAAAAAAACTGTGCAGTGCATGGGGACTGAACACTATCTGCAGACTAGGGAAAACGCCTGGAAGAGCCAGGGCTTTGTCCCCGCTGCTCCTGGGGAAGAGAACATTCTCGAATTAGGGAGGAACTGGCCAGCTGAAGCTTTCCCATTTGGGAAGCAGTGGGGATTCTGTAGCAATTCCTCCAACCAGTTTTGGGGTGTTCTACATCAAAACAAATGAAGAATTGTAAGAACCTCCCAAATTATGCAGAAAGCCAATTGCTTATATCAGGGAGGTAGAGAAAAGGCCTTTATTGCAAAGCTCAGAGCAAGAAGCCAGGCAGCTGTCGCTTAATTCTCAAGCTCACTGAGGGGTTACAGGTCGGAGTTCTTATAAGTTGGGGCAGAGAGGCGTATAGTCAGCTCCTGTCCAGGTTCCTGGTCTGCAGTACTTGTGGCCCTCCTTTGATGGGTCAGCAATATTGTGTCCTTTAGGGAATTTTGATGATGGCAGAGTGAGCTCTAGTCAGTATGGGGGCTTTGTGCAGGTGGTAGTTACTGCGGTTCTTGGAAAAGAGAGTCCTCCAGACCACACTGAGCATCAGGACCTTGTCCATAGGGAAGATAAATGACCTCCTGAGCCTGATGATCAGGGACCTTGTAGGGTAGCAACTACCACGCCCTCCACGAGCCAGCTGATTTTTATAAGAAGTTGATTCAGAGTCATAAAAGTGTTACTAGAGACTGTTAGGTTAGAGGTCCTTTTCTTCCCAAAAGAAAAGAATTTCAGCTGTGAGACAGAGCTAGCCAACTTTAATGCAGTAGTATGTCCAATGGGCCGTTTGAGCAGTTCTTCAGATTAGTCTGAGATTGCCCAGTCTCCATTGAGATTGGAGTCTATACAGGGTCTGCTGTCTCCTACCATTTCTTCTTCTTCTCGATACAGGGCTTCCTGGGTGAGAAATTTTTCCCAAGGTTTCATTACCCAACATTACCAGACCAAGAAGCTCCAGAGACACCAGGCCAGGAAGATTCTGCTGGATCATTAAGAAGTGGATCTGGGACCATCTGCAAAATTTTCTGGGCAAGACTGGGATGTGTAAATGCTACACTTTTCCCAAGGCATTCTAAGTCATCTACGTTCCTTCATTCCTTCCATAAGAACATTTTTTTAAAAATTCTTTTATTTTGGTAATCTTTACATAGTTGAATAGGGCACAAAGGGTCAAGGGCTACAGGAAAGTAGGTAAGACCATAGTTTCCACATTAATATGATTTTTTT